CAGCTTACTACCACTAATAGATCACACAGGATTCACCAGCTTACTACTCTCTCACAGTCCACACAGGATTCATCAGCTCACTATCCACTACCAGTGCAGACCACATAGGATTCACCAGCTTAATACAACTGATAGACAACATAGGATTCACCAGCTTACTACCACTAATAGATCACACAGGATTCACCAGCTTACTACTCTCTCACAGTCCACACAGGATTCATCAGCTCACTATCCACTACCAGTGCAGACCACATAGGATTCACCAGCTCACTACCACTAATAGATCACACAGGATTCACCAGCTTACTACCCCTTGACAGTCCACACAGGATTCATCAGCTCACTATCCCCTTCCAGTGCAGACCACATAGGATTCACCAGCTTGCTACCCCCTCACAGACCACATAGGATTCACCAGCATACTACCACTGATAGACGACACAGGATTCACCAGCTTACTACCACTAATAGATCAAACAGGATTCACCAGCTTACTACCCCCTCACAGTCCACACAGGATTCATCAGCTCACTATCCCCTACCAGTGCAGACCACATAGGATTCACCAGCTTACTACCACTGATAGTTCACACAGGATTCGCCAGCTTGCTAATCCCTCACAGTCCACACAGGATTCACCAGCTTACTACAACTGATAGACGACACAGGATTAACCAGCTTACTACCACTTACAGTTCACGCGGTAGTCAACATCTCACTACCACTCACAATCAACACTGAATTCCACAGCTCAACACCCCCTCACAATCCACACAGGATTCATCAACACACTACCCATTACAATTCAAACAGAATTCAACATCTCATTACCACTTACAATTCACACTGAATTCACCTGCTCAACACACCCTCACAATCCACACAGGATTCATCAGCTAATTATCCATTACGAGTCGAACCAGATTCCCCAGCTCACTACCACTTACAGTCCACACAGGTTTTACCATCTCACTACCACTTACAATTCACACTGAATTCACCAGCTCACTTCAACATACAATCAACACTGAATTCACCAGCTCACTGCCACTTACAGCCTCCATGAGATTTACCATCTCACTATACTACCACTCACAATCCTACCTCCTTACAGTCCGCACCTTGGCTTGGCAATGTATTCTTCTCTTGTAATCATAAACGTATGTTATCCTTGCTTGGATGGCAATGTGGAAATAGCATACAAAAATGTAGCTTGTTATAAATCGGTATTTCCAGCTTTAAGGTCTGATAACTAGTTATTGGTGGATAACATATGCAAAATACTTTTTCAAAATAATGGCTTCATGATTGGATGAAGTTGGAACTAACTGATATTAATTAGAAGTATTGATGATGTCACAAGACCTTTTCTGAATTGGTCATTTTTTTAATGTATATTTATAGCATATTTATAACGATCTCAGTTGTATGCTCTTCACTCGAAACGTGCCTTGCAAAAAATATGTAGCCATATACCTTACTATATCATAATTTTCTTTCAAGGCTGTGTCATGTTTTGTTTCTATGTGTCTAGATATCTTTAACTGATACGACTTGATAACTAGTTTCATGTGAAGTGCTGGTTAATATCTCCCATAACCTGTCATCATTTAAGTTTATACAAGGTACTGGGCGGAACTTTGGTCAGTGATTGAACTAATTACGATATAAACTTTGCTGACAGATTGTTATTCCTGATAGTTTGATATGTGTAGTCTCCTAATATAGCGGACAATTAATCAAATATATATGACGTGTTAAGTACTTCGTATGATTGGCTGCATGCGAGTGAAATATGTGGAGACTACGCCTCTAGCTCTTAAACTCACCTGTAATTGACTAACGTTTTGGAACATAAATAAAGAGTGTCTTGGTCAGTCTGAGAGAGATCTACATGAGACGGTTCTGTCTTGTGGAGGTCTCCACGAAACAGGCAGAGAATCTTGGCGGAGTTCCGGACGAGGCGGCGAGCCTTGGCGAGTTACCACGTGGTGCCAAGACGAGAAGTTGACACAAATTCTAGATCTGTGTATGTCTTTGTTCGGTAAAGAGTTGCGAATTATAGATCCCTGGTACCTGGCGTAAGGTTTAATAACACGATAATTAAGCCACCATAGCTGCCTGACAAAGTCATATGAACCCCCTTCTAAATGTCCATCGATACTTTGTAGAATATCTTGTACTAAATTTAGAACACATTTAGCACATTCTCTTCCCATTGAATCCGCTAGACATAAAGGTATTTTGAAGAAAAACAGGCTATGTAATCTTGATGTATGCAACGAAGTAGAACATGAGAAACATTATATTTTATATTATAATAACTGTCAAAGAACATAGTTCTAGATTCCTTGCAGCCCTGTACATCTATGCCTCAATGTTGGTGTTTTTTTTAACATGGATGAGTTATTTCTAAATATTGTTTCAGGTCAAGATTCTTTCATTCTTAGCATTTTTGCAAAGTTTATTTTCTATAATGTTTCAGTTCTGTAAGTTTTGTTGTCCTGGATGTTGTTTTAGTTTTCTGTTTATTATTGGATATTATTCAAGGTGTCGTTGGTACATTCAAATATAACTCTATCAGATCATTATGACCATGAAACTATTTACAGCCTGGATGGATCAACTGAAAATCATGACCGGAAGTCCAGATCTCTGAAAGAAAAAATTTAAAACAAGAAAAACCCACTCTTTGAAAACAAATTTACACACCCCTTAGTAAAATGGATCTATCATTGCCAAATATCAAACATACTAGTATATCAACACAGCTTTAATTCTTGAAAATGTTTAAAATTGACCCCTTGCTCATTTTGAAACATAGCCCCCTTTGTGCCAGTGTGCTTTGCACACTTTTTAGTAAGTTTCCACCAGTGGACCCCCCGGATTTACAGTAACACAATGTTCGGAATGTGATGGCGGCGTGATTTTTTACTAGGGGAAGCTCAAATTTTTGTTGTCACGGACACAATGTACTTAAATAAATTCCGATATATTACATGTAAAAAGATAAACCTTTATAATTGTAGTTGGTGCTCTTGTATTTTCAATTATTTACTTATTGTATTGTTTTTAAAATGCTCGCTCATATATGTTATAATATACCAGTGTATAAATACAGTAGCTTGTATGATTGAGACCGTCTGAGTGATTACTTACAAACGATAATTGACAGGTCTACGTTTATTGATCGGTGTATAGCAGTCTGATTAGGGTCGCCATTGTTATGCAAATATTCGACATATTATCTGGTCACGTCCCATTGGCAAGAAGGCGACTCCATAGTAACTATAGCTCCTACATGTAGTTGACAGCCACCTGTGCGGTTTCGTAGACCACAACAGCCCGTTGTTGTATAACGAGCTGGCTGGTGTTGGACTTTAACTTTTCGTAACCACTACCTACATTCAGATCGTGTAACGGCAGTGCCATGGCACACAACAACAACAACGGCGGTCAGAACAGCCCATTCAACCCCGCGTCTTGCTCAAATAGTACGATGGGTCTGCCATATTTAGCGCTTAGCCGTAGCGGTCCTATACCGGAGCAGTGGACTTTGGTGCATGAGTGGAACATAGAAAAACGACAACAGCGAGACATTGACCCATATGTGGTGAGTTATGTATAATTCAATTTCAAAATAGTATATCAAATTTATGAGTTACTCTGCGGTGTTATACAGCAGTCTAACATACAGGCATCTTATGTAGCCTTGGTCGACACGTTATATAAACAAGCCCTGGGACACAACTGCATTGGGAAATGACATTATTAACGTATATTTCATTGTATATAAGAAACTGTCATGTACCAACTACCACACATCGCTAGGTTAACAGGTTAATGGTTTCCAGTGTTCACCTATAAAAGTAAACGAACTGGTCCATTATAACGGACACGCATTGTGTTTCCTAATGAATTCAACGATTTTGTTACCACGTCCATAATTGATTGCGTTAGGGAAACCATTGTCAACGGAAATAAAGTTGTCTTCAATAAACAATTAATTTGAATTTCGGCCTTTGTTCAACCATGTGTCTGTTGCCTCGGTTATGTCCATGCACGATAAAAACGAATACCCAGCGCGCCTAGCAACGAAACGTGACTGTTGTCACGATCACAGCGGGATGGGTTTCACCTGCGCGTAACACGAGAAGTTAAAAATAAATCCACATCTATTGGATCTTGAGTTGACTATAAACAAATTACTTTTCTGCCGCCATAGGAAGCGATGAATCATAACTCTGACATCAATTCACTCAAATGAATTATTTATCAGCTTATCTTTGTTGTGAGCTGCTGCATTAATTTTTAATGATCTTCATTTCCCCTTTCTTTCATTTCTTCGCTTTTTTAATAAAAAAAGTTTCTGAAATGTTGCCAGGTTTCACCGGTAATTACTTACTTGTCATTCAGCAACTTTTAGGGCCATTTCAGAATATTTCAATGTTAATTATGCTATAATGCTATGTTAATTAGTTTGGATCTCAACTTGAAAAAGCTATACGTTAAATACTAGTAGTTTCTGATTGATAAACTTTCAAAATTATTTGGTTTACATGTGCCTCTGTTGGAGAGATATACTACAATACGTATATTCAAGCCAAACTGTTCGTATATTCCCGTGTGATACATTTTATGTTGACTCAAAAACTGTTTCTTGTCTCTTTAGAACTGGCAATTTGATGTCCAGAGTCAGATATCCAATATGGGTGACAAGCTGGTGAGTTGATACAATGTTTTACAATTCTTGTAGTTCTAAAAAAGTCGTATAATTTCTGAAAACTGTGTTAGGTAGTGAGTCTGCCCTCAGTGGCAAGGTGAAACCTGTGTTTTATGTTGTAATATATTTAATATTAATATATACATGTCTTTATCCATCTAATTATATTATTTTATTAATTAGGTAATTGATATTTAATTAATCAATTAATTGAATGGAGTCAATCAATCATGGAGTATCAATCTCTATGTATTAAAGGCTGATATTATTGTGTGTGGTAACAACAAGCACATCTACAAGGTATTACAAAATGATTGTAATCAATCAATAATGACTTGTTAATCATCACAATATATTAAATTAATTAAGAGGGTAATATTAAACTATATTTATAGTTAGTGTAGAGTTAGTAAAATTAATTAAATAAAGTAATTAATTAATACTATCAATAACAATTAATGATTAATAGTTAATCATAGATTATATTTCAATTTGATTAAGAAGATTAATCGTTATATTTGTAGCTGGTGCTATTGTAATGTTAATTATTTAATTTGTAATTATTTTTGGCGGATTTATGCAGACAGTAGCACATTTTTTTATTTGTTAAAAGATTTTTAAATAATAAATATAAATAAAATATTACCCAAATCATGTATACCATCTAAAACAATTATTCCATTTTTTGTGAATTTTGCAGTGCATGGCAACCTTTAATATTTGTTATTTATAGTTACCATAACAACAATAATGACAAGATAATACAAAACTTCCCATAAAATACCACAAATTGGCAGCTTGTATGTCAATACATATTTTACATCTGAAGTTGTTATTCTGTAAATTAAATTCTGAATGCTAAAGTATAACTACATCAAACAATTTGACACTATAATTTCTAGTTACTGATGTGCAAGAAAGTTTAAATCATTTAATATTGGAATTGATTCTTTTTCAGAATAAATCCTTGCATGAACATCCAACAGGAGATGCTTATTATGCCAATGATAAATACGGAAAGAGTTTTGAAGAAAAGCGCAGACAGATGACAAAAGATCAGACACGCACTGTGACAAACACATTAGCATATGGATTAGGACGTTCATAGACGAATGATATTTACAAGTTGTTTAGGTGATGGTGGGGGGGGGGTGTAGGGGGCTCTCCAAATTCTGCTATACAGATACTACTGGTACTGCATTGTTTGTCATATAAACACACACTCGAGCAATTCAAACTTATTTAATGTTCAATTTCCATTATTTACTAATTTGAGCTGAATTTCTGGGGATTTGCTTTGATTGATACAAGAACAACTACTACTGTACAAGACAACATATGTATATGATATAATTTTAGATGCTTTCATGTTGCATTGATATTCATTAGGTTTTAAATTCACTGGTTTATGAAGGAAGCAAAACATTCTGCAGTTGTTTTTTAAACATAGCACATTCAGCAATCAACAAAGTACACCAAAAATCAGTGCAGTTCAACAGTTGGATAAGTGATGCCATTAGTACTAGGAGTCAAATTAATCAAATGTCTAGAAATAAAACACAGACAATTTGATGATTAACATGGTTAACATTGATTACTCTGAATGCAAGAAGTCACACCAGTTTTTGCCTGGCCTTTATAAATGTGTTCCACTTTTTTGACAACATATCTTTATGGATGTATCCAATTATAGTTTCAGTAAATAATGAAACAACAAAATGTTGCACGCTGATCTTGTTGACCTGTTGCAGTGAGCTGAAGTGATTTCCACTGTAAGCAAAAAAAAAGTAAATCAATTGAACACACAAATTTAAATCCTGTGTTACATATTACTTGAAGAGTTTTATCAAGACCTATAGCCTACTGAAAAGTATGTCCTTCTTGTCCACGAAGAAATTAGTGTAAATATTGCTTTAAAATGTTTTATTTTTAATAAAATTTAGATAAAAAAATTATTGAAAAAGATTTTAAAAAATTATGATGATCCTCTTTTTTTTGTTATTTTTGTTATAATGAAGAGGGGTTATAAAAGATGAAACCTAAAATTTACAACATACGGTAACTGCAAAAACTCATTTTCGCAGGGATTCACAGAATCACATTTTGATTATCTTGAATCAAATCAATGAATTCTATTGTCTTTTTTTCAGTTTGTGTGGTTTACCTATAAAAATTAAATCCCAGTGAACAATTTGTGTTTACAGTATAAAAGTATTTCGTTGACATGAGTGTGTACACAATGCAATAACTATAGCAAATGTATGATGTCTTTTATGATAAAATATTGTTAAAAAATGTTTATAGAATTTTCTTATCTTTTCTCACTAGAACTTAGAAGTTAAGCTTAACATATTATTATAAAGAATTGAAATTTATTTCTACCAAAAAATTGGCTTTAATTTACTGGTAGTTTAGATGAAACAGTTTGTTATGGTCAGTGCTATTGACTGTTGCTCAACTCCAAAAAGCAAAACAAAAAAGCAGCATGCTGTATCGTGTATTCACACATGGAAATTGTTTTAAAGGTGATGTCATTGTGCAGCGAGTGTAACATTTTATGTAAACAAACAATGTATTTTACACGCATTATTGTACGTCTCTATGCGTCCCATATCAAACAGGACGTGGCACAATCACCTTCATGGTTGGCCTCTAAATGATAATGGTCTTTTTTTACTGTGTTTATTATTTACATGACACATGGGAGCCATTGCTGTGATTCGTCAATTGGAATAATACAAATGTTGATGTATAATTTGCAAATACATGAAAGCGTGAAGTTTTAACTTGCATGTATTTCATGAGTTTTTCTTCAAGGGATACTCACTGCAATTGACTCTGTTTATAATGCACTATGGTGCACACAGGTCTATTGAAGTCGGTGAAAAGTGTATGATGTGTAGACAGAACACAGTTTGGAAGGTTTGAAAAAGTACAATGATTTGTTCTAAGTGGGTAGTTAAATTAAAATAAATTTGAACAAAATTTTGTTATTATCTCAGATATAAATAATTTTGTTTTTGACAATATATCAAGTTCCGTCCAAACTTTTTTCTAGCACGTTGACTGCTTTTGTATATTTTTACTTCTATTGCACTCCATCCAGAGAGATTTCATTTTCAGCACTGATGTTGATTGTTTTTACTGTTTGTGACTGCTGTGTCTCAATGTAAATAAAAAAAGTAAAAAAATAAAGCTGAATGTATTGTGTTTGCTAAAGAAATACATTTGCATTTGTCACTTCTATCCCTATTTGCATGGTGAATTAGGAATGAATGAGCAAATCACAGTTCGTGTGTGAGATTAAAACAGCGCCCTCTGTGACCAATGTGCTATAACCCCTGAATCTATTGAATCAAATGTTTCTTGAGTTTCTGTTGCTGTTGTTGTTAGAATTCAAGGGGAACAATTATTCAAATTATTCTACAGTTTTTCGGCCAATCAGAATGTTTCTTTTCTCCGGGCATCATTTACACTAAATGCCAAATTTTCCGAGTCTGATTAATATCTTTAGTCTGCAAACAATGAAGATCAAATAAGAGACAACGTCAAAAGTTCAATGTAGGATAAACTTAACTCCTTTAGTTTTTTTCCACCACCCCCCCACCCCTACTGAAACTTAAGTTATAAGTATTGATCATGGCGTTAGACTACATTCACAAATTGATAAACGGACAGTAGTATGACGTTGTATGCATGTTCTCATGTAGTAAATGTCACCATTACCTGTCTTATTTTTTAATACAAATCCAGATAGCATCTGCATAATTTTTTTTAAATTTAACACAACAGTAGTGGTTGAAAACAATCTGATTAAGACCCGATGAAGGTAAGAGGCTTTTTTTTTATTTTTATTATTATTATTATTATTATTATTATTATTATTATTATTATTATTATTATTATTATTATTATTATTATTATTACTATTATTATTATTATTATTATTAAAATAATTTTTAAAAAAACTAAAAAAATTAGAGTCCCATACCTACATCGGATTTTAATCAGATTATGGTTGAAAAGCACCAAACAATTTTAGACATAGGATTAATTTTCTAATACAAATCCAAATTGTATCTGCTTTTCTAGGTTCTGCGCATGCTCTAGGTCCATGCCCTGAAATTTACCTCATTTGACGCACATATTTACACTCAGACCAAACCATTTTCTCGTCTAGAATTTTTTTTCATTTTCTGTTATTTTGTCTATGATTG